CAAACTTAGGAGATGAAAATTAAAGGGGAAAATGATTTACTTAAGTATTTACAAGTTTTTCAATTTTTCCACACTATCAATTAGAAGAGACCTTGAGGTAACGTTCTTCCGAGCAAATATTTTTCCGTTACGAATCCACAGAAACTCGTATCCCTTTTCCCTTGCGGCTACTCGAGCAGCGGCATGCAGTTTCTTATTTGCGGGTGACAGCTGTTCTGTAACGTATACGGAATGCGTGCTCACAGCAATACCCAGATGTCCCGAATGCAGCTTTCTTGTCTTACGGATGCCAGTATCTCGTCTCGTACTCGAGGGCTGATGAGTTTAACAACGATGGAACGGGGCCTGCTGGATTGTTGGTCCAGCTTTTGCACTCTGTGGAAATCTACTATCTCTGTGTCTTTAATATCTCTTGATGTTACTTTTCCAAGCTGTTTGATGGTCGTCAGAAGATTTTCAGATTTGAATTCAGGAACACATTGAATTTCTATATTACAGGACCTTGAACGCTGATCCAGGGCATTAAGATGACTCCACAAAGCTCTGTTCTCTGCCTGAAGCGTTTCTATGACTTTTGTGTTCTCGCTTACTTTCTTATTTATACCTTCAAATTGTGATGAAAAGTAGTTAAGTTTTTCTTTCAGCTGCTCAAAATCCTCGTGAATTGACTTATTTTCCAATATTATCTGCTGCCTAACTTCTGCTAGAATAGTTGCAGTTGTCTCTTGGATGATCACGAAACAGATACAGAAATCTAAGACTCAGTCCTAAAATGTAGTAGCTTTCAGTTTTTTTTGTATTGATAAGCGCCCTAGGTAGGCTATAGGTTACATTTTTATGGTCTACACGAACCTTTCGTATGTTAATCCCTTAACATATAAAATGCTACTTAATATTGTAAAAAGTAACAGTAACACACAAAATACTAAATATAAACATCGGCTCTTTGAAGTCGTTTAGAAAATTATCGTGTACGAGGCTGTTTGACTTGTCAAGCAAATATTTAACAGAGTTTAATCTTTGACAAATTAGAAGTTGATTTTTTTGATAAACAGGATTTTGCGAAATTAATCATTAAGGTTTATTTTAAATTTGATACCCTTTTTTATTTGATAAACTTTTTAATTTGTAATTACAAATTAAAAAGTTTTTAAATGTTATACTCGTATAAGACAAAGTTACGTCAACGTCTGTCCATCTTTTGTTCGTTCTAAGGCTTAAATAACAAAATTAAAATATTACAAAAAATTAGACCAATGTTATAAAGATTGAAGGTCAGATACACCTGCCTCTGTATAATGTGATTTATATACTGAATTGTATTACCACTTGTTATATTTCGCCTATCACCCATAATTATCAAAATACTAAATATTATTGTAAGTTTACATACCGGAATTTCCGAATTAACTTTTCTTTCTTTGTTATTTGTCATCGAGTAGCTACCTAAACAATATTTTTGGCTATAATAAAGTGATTATAGATTTTCTTAATATTAAATGAATGTATTATAAACATCTTGGAGGTTTGTCTTTGCGACAATATCTGATAATTTGAGTTATTACTTAGTGTCAGATTGTCGAAAATTTTAAGATAACGCACGTTCGAAGTATATTAAGAAACGTTAGTATTAATTCAACACAGTTGTGCGACGGCATCCCAGTATCGAGGACTTACAGCATCTATATATTATTACATCATAACGACGCAATAAAGAATAAAAATATCTTGTGTGCTTCGGTGCTGGTGCCTCCTTACATTGTAAGTGTACAAAAAATATGTCTCAAAAATAATGTTGCCTTTTGCAGTCGAGTAAAAATGTTGCGGAAATAAGTTTTTGTCATATATTATATAAATCTATTTTTCTTAATTCACTGTCCGCTTTTTAAACTTTAAAATTCTAAATATTTTCATAATGTGTTTTTAATTTCTTCCGGTTGAATCCCGTGCATGTATTCTAATAAAAATAACATCGATTAAAATTATAAAATTACACGATAGTTTTAGGTCCATTATCATTAAATAGGACCTACCTTTTTGTTGTCGATAGTATCAAATGTTAACCATTATTTTAATGAAATGCTTGTAGATAAAAATAATGTTAAAAAAGTTACGTTTTGTGATTTAAATTTAATGTTGATTTCGAATTGGTATAATTAACTAAAAAAATATTTCAGCAACACACACATATACAACATTCTTTGTTTGTTTTATTGGCGCGTATACAAATAGTTTGGTTGGTATTCCGACACGGGAACAGGCGACATATAACTGGCCATGTGAAAAACATGGATTTTCAAGATCAATGCCACAAACAATAAGCGACTGTCCTTGACATTTATTTATCGACATTGCAAATGCTAGCAGCAAGTCGAATGGCATGTCGTGCTGAATCAAAGGAATCCGTGGAATCAAAACGTCTTCGCCTTTATACTTCCCTTTCAAAATTGTGGCTTCGATGACGTTGTTCATTAATTTCTTCACCGCAAGGCGGGTGCCATTACAAAGATGTGGCTGGTTTATACTCCGCAACTATCAATATAATTATTTTATATGTATTTTATCAATATAATAACTCCGATCGAAGCATTTGTTTTAAACGATATTCATTTTTGTTACATCCTCTTTGACGATATCTGCAGTACGCATTCTGTCAATGTTATGTCAAACGCCATAAGGTTACATAAAAAAAGTATGAATTGTAAGAGCGCTATGCACTGAAAAAAAAAATTGCTAACGTAACAAGAGTCACGATTACCTAATATGGTAGTTAAGTATCTATTTTTCCACGCAATTTTCTTGTTTTTTTTTTCTCTCATAAAAACCTTTTCCTGACAATAACAAACAAAACAAAAAAAGAATAAGCAAAATCGGTCCAGCCGTTCACGCGTGATGCCGAGACCAAGAGAAATAGGGATTCATTTTTATATATTAGATATATATACTCGTATAGATAAACTTATCCTATTCATAAAAAAAATCAATAAAAAAACCTGTGCTGATTGCACAGATTTGACTTTTTTTATTAATTCATTTTACAGAATATTGTAGATTAGATTACATTATTTAACTTTAAATAACAAATAATTGTACTGAAATACAAATATTTTTTGTTCACATTTAACTCGAAATTTGTAATTGCAGATATGAAATTAGATTTTAATGACGATTAAACGACGAATCCCCTCTTTAGACAAATAAGTCTAAGGGATGCCGGTTTACTCACGTTTTCCTTCACCGTACGAGCGAATGTAAAATGTGCACATAGACAGAAAGTCCATTGGTGCCGGTCCGGGGTTTGAACGTTCAACTTCAAGGACTAGGGTGGTACGCTGAAGCCACTAGGCCAACACTACTCATTGGCTCTTTGTAGATCCTGTTATTCTAAAGCATTTTTTCTTCAATGCTTACTAAAGTAGCGTGTGCACGAAGTTCCTATGTAATTTTGTTATTTATATGTAATATGTAATTATATTTTTTGCTTTGTAATACACCGTCTTAGTGACGGTGACACATAGATATGATAGTGAAGTTGTTTTTAAACAACCATACCTATTAGTTTCGAATAAGATTGTTTACAGATAATTTAGATAAGATTGTTCCTACTTGTTTTTTCTATCGAGATAAATCCAGAACATTTTTAGTAAAATAAAACCTAAAGCGAACAAAGAATTCAATATAACCAAGAAATTCGATATTAGTCATTTATTGATAAGTAATAATTGAACCCTTAATGAATGGATGTCCTGTCGACGCCTTTTATTACGATGTTATCATACCATTTTAAATAACTACTGTCTTCTCGTATCTATATAAATAGGAATTAATCTCAAAATACGTTGCTAAGCGCAAAATCGAAGTCGGACGGTTCACGGAATGTGAACTGTCTCGAGTCTCTAAATGTTTCTATTTGTAGGCTAGGGAAAAAAACTGGTGGAACGAGAAACGCGAAACGTTCGCGGGGGCACAATAACAATGATTATGTTTCTCATTATCACGTCGATCAGCAGAACAGGAAGTAAAAACCTGCCAAAATGTATTTTGAATTCTGACGTTCTGTTATGCGTACTCGACATTGGGCGTGTTCGGCCGAAGTAAGTACTTACTAAATTTAGTAAGTCACTTACTATGCTTACAAAATTTTCGGCCGGGACACAAAATAAGTGCTAACGCAGTAAGTATGGCTTAATATACGACGCCATTTTGCTTATTGTTGATGTAAACAAAACGGACAATAAAATATCCCATAAAATATTTCTCATAAAATTATCCATTTGAAACTATTCACAGGTATTAAATTATATTCCTAAATTTAGTACTGTCAATTATATTCAGTCTATGAGGTTATGTACGGGATATGACATAAACCGGTGTTTTGTGTTATGTTAATAAGCCAGTAAGTCTGTCCTGGCCGAAAAGCGCTACAGTCAGCTTGTAAGACTTTAATTTTTTTATGCTTACTGGCTTACTAAGTTTAGTAAGTACTTACTTCGGCCGAACACGCCCATTGATAAGACATTGAGTAGTAATACAAACAAGATGTTGTTCATGTGATTATGTAATATCTTTATTAGGAAAAATAGACTTAATTGCTGTTTTATATTATTTATTTAAAAGTGCTGATAACGATATTGCCTAGGGTAACAAGCATTGACGAGCGCTTGTAAGTAAATGTATCTTATTAAATATTAAAGCATATATTTGGTGCATAAGCACAATATGTGGGTAACGAAGTAAATACTGCATACAGTAAAGTGAGTCGTCTGTACTACGGTCCCGATAGATATGCAAATAAACAAAAGAAATTCTTTAATATCTCCAAACGACCATATTGGTACATAAGATTATAATAAGATAATTTGTCTTTGTTTAAATAAAATAAAAATTAAGAATTCTGCTGAGATCTAATCAACTTACTTAGGGTTACAATACGACGTGTTTTAAAATTTAACTAATAAATTTTCTTTTTTTTTTTAATTAAGGGTTTTCAGTTACACATTATGGGTGTTCAGAAATTTCCACACTTCGCTGTCCATGATTGGATGACCGAAATACAAACCCGTGTTGTGGCTAAATCTGGAAAGCCTAGTGACCGATTCCATCTTGGAAAACTGGTGCTGGATGGCCTCAGAGATGTTCCGGAACAAGTTCTTCAGGTACTAGCCTAACATGAAGATCCTGTACTTACGTATAATGAAAAGAGTTATACACGCGATCAACAAGCATAGAAACATATTTGATACCTTATTGATTATTTAAATGGAATATAGATAAAATAACAAATAGTTAATAATCGTCAAGTGATCTCCTAAGAAAATGTTTGAAAAAAGGCCAGTTATTGGCCTATCTATTGTTTTTTGATCTCAGATGTGTGTCTTCAAACATTTTAAATATGATATATTTAATCGTTTCAATTTCAGATCGACGGTGGAACTGGGGAATCCGAAACGTTTGGTTCAGCCCTGAAGAGATCCGTTCAGTGCGCTAACGTGTTTCGGTCGAAAGGTCTTAAAAAAGATGACGTAATACTTTTGATGGCGCCGAACCATATTCATCTCTGCATACCAATGTATGCTGCACTTTACCTTGGCGTGGGAGTAGCAGCGGTTGATTTTGCGTTGGCAGAAAGTGAGTTCAGCATAACTTTTGTTCGAAAAAAACTTAAAGAGTAATTTGTTCTAAGAAAGGAAAATTATTAGCGCGTCATTTCTTAAGAACTTCAATACTATTATGATTTAGTAACTGTTAATTTATTGGGTTCAAATCTGTAACTAACTACTAGAATGGTAAATATAGCAGTGCCGGCCTAGTGATTTCAGCTTGTGAATGTTATCGCCGAGGTCGTAGGTTTGAGCCCGCTTGTGGATCAGTGAACTTTCTGTCTCTTTGCGCACTAACGTAACACTAATGTAGAAATATAATTAATAAATGTTTGCGAATTTTTTATACAGATTTACGAACCTAATGTTACCTAGAAAGTTTTCTATTATTATTTTTTTTCACTTTAGTCACTACGTTATTTAATTTTCAGGAATTGCACAGAACTATACATTAGCATTTGTGTGATTTTATTCATTAATTAGCAATCCTTATATTTCAGAGGAACTCCACGAAACATTTAAATTTAATAAGCCAAAGATAATATTCTGCCAAAGCGAAAGAGCCAAAGATGTCGGAGCAGCCTTACAAGGTCTGGACTTCTCTTGTGAAGTCGTTACATTTAACGCAGGATCCGAATATAAAACATTCTCAGAGTTGTTGGAGCAAGAAGCAGACGTTTCAATTGATGAATTTGAGTAAGTTAAAAATCCACTGAAGTTGAATAATTTATAAAAGCGTGTTCATTAATTTTAAATTGCATGGACACTATGTATGTAGTGTGGAGTTAATTTTTTGCACTTAGACGCTAATTTGTTTCGTTGTGCGTAAAGTCCTGGCTAATTAAGCCAACCTAGCCTTTCTTCCTGCCTTCCTTCCATCCAGAAGCTCATACATTTCCTGGGCACATCACAGGATCACAACTCCGAGGATTTCATCGTTCAGGAGGATTTGTTCATTGGGAAACCTCAGCTATGCATTCCAGGACTACGTGGGCGACAGATTCTTCTGCGCTGAAACAGCCTCTGCTAAACAGACTGTCTTTTTGTTTTCTAACGACGCACTGCCAGTTCGAATGCAGGAACACTAAATATTAGAATTTTCAGATATATGCCAGACCGATCTAACCTTGAAAGTACGTGTCCTTGTTTTTAAAATTTTTGCTATATCCCTACTGCATGTGTTTGTATTACTAAATATACATGACTTTTTTTGTCTGCATCAAATATCGCCAAAACGGTCGTCTGTAGCTTTACGCAACCTTTATTTCCCAGTAAGTTTACTTATGATTGTCAGTCTTACTAATAAAGACTTATGCACATCGTATAAGCCTGTTATAAGAAAAATGTTACTTATAGTTCCTAAATTGACAAGTCTGATGTATGCGGCTGTTATAACAAGTGCCTGGTTTGTAGTAAGACTTGTACAATGCTTAAACAACGCAGAGGCCTAGTTTAACGGGTGTATAAGACAAAAATAGCGTCATTTGATCTGATTTTTTTAAAGGTTCTTGTTAAAGGTTTAAGACGATGCTGCTGATTTACACGGGGTTAGAAGAGTAGCAGCTAGGAGAAATCATCAATTTATAAAAATGCCTGCAAAAATCCGAGAACATCCCTGTAGTATCTGCAGGGTTCCGATCCATGAGTGGATTTAGAGGCGTGATAGGGGCTTTCGACTGCACACATGTTAGAATTAAAAGAATTAGTGGTGAAAGTGGGCCATTCCACATAAACAGGAAAGGATGTGTATCCTTGAATGTACAGTGTGTGTTTGATGCAACACTGCGTATTCTGGATGTCGTGGCACGGTGGAGAGGCAGTATTCAGGACAGCCATATGTTTAGATAAAGTCAACTGAGACATAGAATGGAGAGTGGAGAGATCCAAGGACGGCTTCTTGGCGATTCAGCCTATACATTGACTCCATATTTAAATCCGAGTTTACCTCAAGAGGAGGCATACAATCATTCCCATATAAGAACAAGGAATACAATAGAACGGTGTTTTGGTGTTTGGAAGCAACGATTTAGGTGTCTTTTCTTCATGGCTTCTGAGTGTCATTAGAAAATGCCAAATTATATATATACGTATAGTACCAGCACTGGCAATACATAATTTTACGGCTTAGTTATTCGACAAATACACATCGATTATTGGTCAAATAGAAACATATTTTTAATAAACACATATCCGCACATATGTGGTTATATACATAGGTGCGGATAGTGAAGGACATGAAATAAATAAAAATTTATATTTCATTTCAAACAGGGGTTTAATTTTTTTTACAGTTTTTAATTATTATTTTAATTGCTGCTCATTCATTCATTCATAGCCCGTTCGTGAGCTTCGGCAAGTTGCTTCATTTTGAGCTCATGTGTTTCAGACATCTGCTTAAGTTTTGTTTCATGGTCTTCCTGCAAACACTGATAAAGTCTGCCGTGTTGCGGAGTTTGGCACTTTCCACTATTTAAGATGCCTTAAAAATTTAATTATGATCGTTGAGGGCTTTTGAATGAAATTCTTTTCTCTATCACATTAATACCAACCTCGCCCAAGTTTTGTACTGCAGAACGCGTCTAGGGGCTCGCACCCTTTTTACTTTATTTTCTGTTCTCATTTAATAATTTGAGGTTTCGACATAACAAAAAAACACAAGATCAATTGAAAAACAAACACGGCGGGTTGCCAGGGTAACAATAAATAAGGCTCGTTTAGTTATTCAACATATACACATCGATTAGTGGTCAAAGTGGTGTTTATGCCCTGTACAAGCTCTAATCACTGGATAACTATTCACCATGTTATAACGCATGTATAGTGATTTTTTATCTATGAATAGTATGAATATGTGCATCGAAGTGATAATAATATAAAAATAATTAAAAAACTAAACCTTGGTGATAGTCTGCTTCTGGGATGCCAATTATGACCAATAATTATCAAATTTCAGGGCTGCAGATTTCGATCCATCAGAGACGTCATCAATGCTTATACCGACCAGTGGAACAACTGGTTTGCCGAAATCTGCTGAAGTTACACATAAGAATCTTGTCTATGGAATGCCATTCATGTGGTAAGTTTATTAACTTGCTTACTGAAAAATTATATGTCAGTAAATAGAGTGCGCAAGATTCTTATTTTAACAATTTGCATTGAAGCCCCCTCCGGATATCCCTAAATCAATTTTATTACGCCAGTACATATGGCTCCTGTTATAGTAGTAAGTTTATAACAAATTCCTTCTATAGGGCCCAGTTTGACACGTTCCCCTCACCAGTACCTTTAAGTATTGTGATGTCTCCACTTCAATGGTACTCGGCAATATTTCTATATATCTCCTGCCCTTTGATGAGGCAGACCAGACTCCAGTCATCAGAACCAATGACAAAGGACCACTTATATTACCTTATTAATAAGTATAGGGTAAGTTGTATACCAAGTACTATTTGATGCGATAATTTTTTTTTGCGTGTTTTATGTGTGATTTATATTTAGGGCTAAAATAACAATAGAGATGAAAAAAGCTTGAACAATTTATATACAGGTTGTCCTTTTTACTACAAGAGGCTCATCTGATGTTAAGTGATACTGTCGTCCATGGACACTCTCAATTCAGAGGGCTCGCGAGTGTGTTTTAAGTGGTGAGCTACTTGACCTTAATCTTCAAAAATTTGCTTATCCTCATTTACATCTTTGCTATGATGAAACGTTATCTGCATAAATAAATATATTTTGCAGCCTTCCTACGCAATGTCAAGTCCAAATATGTGGATGACCTTGTTCAAGCCCGGAGACCGAGAAGAATGTGATTTTACATCGTTTCAATTAATTCTTAGTGGGGGTAGTGCAATGCCACAGAGTCTAAGGGATGAGATTAAGGTATGTACAATATTAGGTGGCGCCTAGTATTATACGTATATATATGTCTCGGTCTTAGTTTGCTTGTTTCTTTCATTATTTCTTATATAGACCGATAAGCCTTCAATACATTAATCACTGTTTTATTTTATTCACAGAAAGCAACTCCAAATACATTGGTATTGAATGTATATGGTATGACTGAATTGTCTGGATTGGGTTTTCTACACGACCCCACAGTGCCAGAGGCAATGGGCCGCCCAGTACCATACTATAAATATAAGGTTTGTTAAAATTTAAACATATTTTTCATATAATAAAAGCTTGCTTGAGTGTCACTTGTTTTAAAAATCTAACTAGATCTATATAGAGGCGGATCCGGAATATCCATTGTACTTAAAGGAATAAATGATAACTTAATTGTTAAATTAAATTACTTTTAGATTTAAATTATTTCAACAGTGTTGAAAATTTTACTTATTACATTTCTTTACCTATTTATATATAATCTACATGAGTATTACTTTTTTAGCTTGTAAATCTAGAGACTTTGAAAGAAATTAAGGAACCTAACGTCGAAGGTGAAGTTTGGTTTAAGGGTCCAGCTGTTTTTAAGGTAAGCATCACAATATGTCGTCGATACTATGTCACCCCAATAGAGGTAGCGAATTAATATTGAGTATTTGTAACTACTGACAAATTTTTGTTCATAAGCTCAACATTTGTAACTTCTCTGACATTAGGCTATTTCTTTTGTCTGTTTGTACATTCTCACCGGTCGAAAAACATCTTTCTGAGGCGACAGTAGAAGGTTTTAATGAAAACTAATTTTAGGTTACGTTATTTCAGCTTGGGGAAATATATATTTCTTTACGCCAGAAAGTCAATGGTTCAGCAGAATGGTGGGAGTGGGTTGTTTTAATAAATAATATATACAAAGCATAACTAAGCAAATTTTTATATGTAACTCAAACTTGATTTTCTATGATCACCTATCCGCATCTGCCTTGCGATTCTGTAACTCACTTTTCGAACTCTCACAGCGGTTTTCGCGCTCACATCAGTTGTGAAGCAGTCATTTTACGATTTGGCATTCTGATAAACAATAAACTACAAGCTCCCTCCGCTTGTGAAGACGTAATGTGAAATTACTTAACAGAATACCATGAGATTCCAAAAACGACGTGAGTGACGAAGGAAGCGTTGTTAGTGCGAGGTAACTCACGGATTAACAGAATCGCACGGCTGTAGTTGCCAAAAAAGTGTTTTATTTTTCAGGGTTATTATAACAATAAAGAGGTTACAGCGGCAACTCTGACAAAGGATGGATGGATTCGCACTGGAGATATTATGTACCGAGATAAGAATTATCTTTTCTACTTTGTTGACAGATTTAAAGCACTACTAAAGTATAGAAATAATCACGTGAGTTTATTTTTTCTGTTCTATAGAAATATTTAAATAAAAATAAATAATATTTTCTAATATACAATAAATAATAGTTTCTATAATTATTACAATTATATCTTAGCCACACTTGCTAAAGGCACTCGAAACGTCACGCTGTGTAATAAATTAGCAGTTAAAGTTTTAATTAATCAAATGATAAGTTGATCTGATATCTGATAGTAATAGAACTAGGGTACTTTACTTGGAACTGTACTGTCTGCAATGTTCAAACCTGTTTAAATTATTAACCAATAATTTGATAACCATCAAATGCAGAATAATATAAAGAAATCAAACATGTTCAATTTCCAAATATCAATATTCAGTTTTTGTAATCAAGAATCTTTATTGAAATTTTAAGCGTCATTTGTTTGTTTTTTTTTTAATTTTTGAGACAAAATAATATTTAGTGTCCATAATTATCTATACATCACTGCATTTCTGTTGTAGCCTTATTTAGATTTACCCTTTTCCACCTATACCGTCGACGTCATTTTTGTGTAAAATGCACGTTAATTTTATTTTAACGTATGTCGTAAATTTGTGGTAAAAGGGCTCTGGTGGATATAAGAAGCTAGAGTATTTACAATTTTATATAAAAATAAATTTTGTTTTTTTATAGGTCTCTCCAGTAGAAATAGAAACTTTAATAAGGAATCATCCAGGCGTGTTCGAAGTAGCCGTGACGGGGGTCCCGGATCCAGAACATGGTGATCTGCCTGTTGCTTTTGTGATAAGATTAGGCGAAAGTAAAGTAACTGCTCAAGAGATTAAGGATTTGGTTAAAAGTAAGTAAACTATTAAAAAATATGGTAGTGCTCAATGTTTGCTGATGATTTCTACGCGTTCAGGTGAAAAAGGTTTTATTCTTACATCTTAGAAATAGCGACATTCGAACGGGAATAGAAGACAGACCCAATAAATATTGCTAAAAAGTTTTTAACTGAAATTGTTACCAACTCTAATTCAGCTATCTCCTATTATATCTATCTATCTCCTATATATATAGCTATCTACTATATAACTTAAAGTATATTTAGAGAAAATGTTCTTCCTACTTTACTTTCAGATAATTTGTCAGACTCAAAGCAACTTCGAGGAGGCGTTATCTTCATAAAACAGTTACCTCTAAATGCTTCCTCCAAGGTTGACAGGAAAAAACTCGCCGCTCTAGCGAAAGAAATGGAAAGAGAATAAATTTACCAAATGAGGCCCAATTTCTTACGATTTTTAAAAAATATCAGACGTTTAAAGAAAAAAATCTGTTGTAAATAGTTGATTGTTTTTTCATTTCTTGGAATCTAGTTTTAGATGTACTTATATACTTCTTTTACATGATGTTGCAATAATATAAATTTTTTTAATTTTTTTTATGACGTTTTTGTATGACAAAAAGCATGTTGTAATGTTACTACACAAACGTATCAATTCTTTAAAGATATAACTTTAAAAAATTGGCTAGTTACATGAAAGGTCTACGTTCTGTCTATAAAATAAAAATTATATTATTGTTGCTATTTAAGAAGTAATAAAACACATTTTAATAGATACTCTTACATTAAAGGTGTGACCTGTGGTGCTGAAGCGAAGCGTGAAGCATCTTAGATGCATGCTTAAATTTGCAGATGTAGAAAATTCCATTGGTACACGGTCGAGGTTCGAACGCACGACCTAGTGACTGAGACGCAAACACTGTTATCGAATATACCAAACGATTGTTGGTTTAATGAAAAATGTACAAACCGTTTTAACGCTGTGTATTTAAAACATTTCCTCTAGATCTAGGAGAAAGAGGAATTTGGAGTTTTACGATTTTGGTAGGTATAACAAATTACTAAAAAAAAAACAGTACCTTTATTGATACTTCAAACTAGTCGTTCATTGTTTTATTTATACTAATGAAAAATACTATATAAATATTGGGTTATAGGGCGAAGGAAAAATTATTGAAATCGATTGGACACATTGGTCGTAAAAAGAGATAACGTGGACAAAAGACATAAAAATAATAATTTATGTATGTATATCTTTACTATATTTTCGCATAGCGGCCAATTGCTTAGCATTACTCTGTCGTCTACTATGTGATGTATGTCTAGAATGACTAGATCTTTCTGATCGAGGAGTTGGTGCTGGATCCAGGTCAATCTTCTGGGACTCCTCTTCTTCATCCTTTTTGGAGCCTTTAGAACCACTGCCAGTTGATTCCCTGTGCCTCACTGGTTTTACGTCGCCACTGAAGCTAAATATAAATTTCAGCTCCGCGATTAATTCTTCTTTGAAGGATACCTGAAAAATGCGAAATAAATCTAAAATTATGTTTTACGATTATAATTACGATAAATATTTGGTATGCATGCAACGATCAGGTTTCACTAAGGACGATAAAAAAGAAAACGTATAGCACTCGGGGAAAAGCTATTGCATATATTTTTTTCAACTTATGCAATTATAATTATTTATTTAAGCAGTGTTTTTTTTTCTTTGATATTAATTCAAGTTTTTTCTTTGATTAATTAATTCAATCTACCACACTACCAGACTCAGACTAACTCGCCTATATAGTCTGCCTCACTCTAACACGAACCGGCTGCACCGATCTCGTCAGAGAGATGTGAATACGCAGTATGCGTTCTGTCCCGCTCTAACGCGCAAGGTTTTTTCGTTACGGAATTTCTGGATTCGGTCTCCACGCTCGAGGCTCGCGATTGAAGCTATGCAATAGCTTAAAAGTTAAATCGCAAGATTCAGGACTTTGACATAGAAACTGATTGCTATGTTTAGAGAATTGGTTTTCTAAAATAATTGTTTAGTTTTCGTAACTATTATTAATAGATAAAAATAATGAGAACTCCTCTCATATTAATTATTATCGTAGTTGGCGTAGTGACTAAAGCATACGTATTACGTATACCTCCTGAGGTAGTGCGTGCAAGCCGTTTTCTATAAATGTGCACAACTAACGTTGGTTTGTACGGTAAACCCTGAGGAAACCTTCATGCTTAAACTAAAAATCGGCTGATCAATGGGCACAAAAGGCTGATCTACTTGATAACATTATAAACATACCCAATCTGATACTGAGACCGATTTCGGGTTGTAATACTTTTATTATTTATTTATTCCTAATCTCCTCGACGCTTATCGTGCGGGAGCTTATTATATTCACATGATTTGGATACTTGTCTAGTTTTCTGTTGTTACGGAAAATCGCGAGAGGGTTGGTGTAGCCACTTTTTCAATAATATTTCTAATATTCATAGGCAGTTGGGGCCCGTCTCGTGAGACCTACGCTTTTATTGCAGTGAGTGACATGTTTTAAAATTCTATTGCAAAAAATTTTAATTGCAGTCTCAAGCTCATTAATATTTCAAATACGATGTCTTTAATTTGTTATAATATGTCCAGCTCATTACTGCCTGTATTGTTTGTAGATCGTATGTATGTCATATCACTGTTATATTATTATCCGAAAAAACATACTTTTTCCCTTCGAGATATCATCCAAACATCCACCATCATCTCAAAGAAAGCACAGACTACTGCAAGGGATGAGCCGGCCACTAATACGATAAATACTCCACCCACATTCGCCAATACTAAGGGTTGAGCGTCGCCACTACTTGTATCGTCATCCTGTCAAATGTTAACAGCGTTAAGACTGATTTATACCTGGATAAGTAATTACCTTACAACTAAGTTATTTTGGTTGGGTAAGTTTAATTTTGCTGGCCAAGGCTTCATTATCACCTGAATTTCGAGGATATTCAACTTCTTTACTCCACGGTGAATTAGTGCACCTCAGTGCTAAACAGTACTAAGTGAAACAAAAGCACAAGAACAGAGTATCTTAATAGAGATTGTAAGTAGTGTTATTGGACACTTTCTTAAGTTTCATTAATATCTTTATTATTAAAGTAGGTTCGCCTTAAATTACTTATTAATCTTTAGTTAGGCTCGTTATATTCAATAATGTCTCAAAGAAGAAACAAATTATGCAAAAATTGTTTATTAAATATCGTAAGTATCACATTGAGTAGTAGTCTTTCTATGCCTATATTTAAATAAAACTTCTATATAAACCGAATACGATGCATTATTTATACAACATTTCGTGTACTTTTTAATAGTCAACAGAGAAAATCAAGTACAATAAGCCTATATCAAAAGCCTTTTCCCCATTCTACTCATTAACTATAAACTTACTCTTTTATCTGGAGAATCGTGAAAAACATTCTAAGCGGAGTTTTAAGAATAATAAATAAAAAAGGTCTTGCCCACGCTATGCCCTGACAATTTAAATGTGCCTTGTCTTTAAATATTGCCGTTCATAATTATACACTGTCACCAAGATAATTAAACAAAGTCAGTAATAAGAGAGGCACTGAACAGAAACCGGTGGAAACAGATAGTCCGCTCCAGATGTTTCCTTACTGACCATTAATCTCAGATATTAGCGGCGAAGAGACAGAACAATAAAATTAAATATATTTTGATTTTATTTAAAAATTACTTTATTACCAAATTTCATTTTTGTATGTCAAACGGCTTTCGATACTTCGCGATCTTTCGCTTTTACGTATAATATATACGTTATGTTATGAATAATGACAAAACGATATTTAAAGAATAATTAACGGGTTATGTCAAATACGTTATAGACTTACTGAACACGCACCACCACCACGCTTTTCCTTCCACCACTTGTCTTTCATTCTGGTAATCGTCCCTTGCTCTTGCATTTGTAATATCGATTCACTCATTGGCTGTCTATATGGTGAATCTGAAAACATATGTGACTTATTATGACTATTTTTAATAAATTAGTCTAATAGCCTTTGAAATAAAATATTTCGTCAACTTCTGTCAAATTGTGTTTACGCTATGATGACGGACGAGTACTTTAGTTAAAACTGTTTTATACCAACAATTTATTTTTAATATCACCAAAGTTAAACGATGACTGTTAAATTCGCGGTATCACAAAAAGTTTTGAATTTATAGAATATTTACAGCTCAAAAATTTTACTTAAAAATTTCATTAACATTTTGGGGCCGTAGAAAATTCCTTTGCCACAACCGTGACACACCCACACCAATTGAAAAAAAACTAATCTACCGAATAATAATACGTTAAATTGTAAGCAGTACGTTGAGTTCACAATCTTTCAACAGTTCACAATTTCGCGAGATAGATTACAATCTAACGGGGTTTACAATTTTACGGTGACATATAACTTAAATGGTAAAAACCGAGACATATCGAAAGCTATAAAATACAACCTTTTGAGTTATACTTAGCCTAAGTCTTTGAATCTTACGCTTAGATTCTGTCAGACTTTCTTATGGCACATATGGGAATCATACTTCACATTTACTCTCAAAATGTTTAAACTGCGACCTATATCAGGATAGAAAGCTAAAAAAGCCAAAGAAAAGAAAAATAATACAGAAGTGTGAAGAGACCAATCGCCATATAGGGTATTAAATGATAAGGTGAAACGTTTTAGAATAAAATTATACTTTTCTTCATTGCAATTCCGTATCCCTTGCTGTCCAATAACCCTCCGACTTGCGATACATCGCAGTTCCTCTCTACCATGTACTCGATAGACGTTGACTCCATGAGAAACGCATAATTTTTATTCTCATCTTTCACCCTGAAACCATAAATAATAAAATGAGGATGATTGTAAAAGATTAACAACACGTCAAAGATATGGCCATGAAAGACTTAATAATTGTTTTTTTTTTAATTTGACAAGAAGACTCATTTCTTCGTGTATTACAGCAATAATTGGATTATAATGAGTTATGTTATATAGTTTTTTGTGTATATGATAATTTAGACTGTCTTCTGTATTAGTAATTACTTTAACCGACTTCACTAAACCAGAAGACGAAGACGAAACGTCAGTAAAGTGGTTAACTTGGTAAGATATGTTCTAGAATCAATATAGTGTGTTTGATACTTATGTTTTACTATACTCGGTTAATTATACTCTTATTGAGTATAAATTAAGTAATTAATATTACATTCATTACAATTATTACTTAGTTTTACCCCCGCGAACTTAGTTTTGCCTTAATAGGATTTTTGTACTTGTCTATTTTCAAATTTATTTATTTTAATAAAAACCTACCTCAGAGAACAAGTAATAATGAAAATAAAAAAATACTCAAATTGGTACAGCAGT